AGCTCATACAATCTCAGATTCTGCTTTCATCGAGATCATTAGCAAATGTTCCTGTGGAGGTGTCCCCTCACAAGACATTGAATTGTAGTAAAGGCATCGTTCGTGATAATGGACGATGCCTTTCCGACATAAATGAGTTTGAAATTGTGTCCGAATTACAATCGCAAGGCGTTACACATGTGAAACGCTTCACTGCAAGGAGGAATAACGAGACTTTCAATACAAATACTTACTTGTTCACACTTTGTTTTCCGGTACATCCAACATCACTGAAAGCGGGATACTGTCACCTAAAGGTCGATACCTTTATCCCAAATCCTTTGAGGTGCTATACCTGCCAAAAGTATGGTCGCGGGTCAAAGTCTTGCAATAACCCGGCTGCATGTCACAAATGTGCTGGAAAGTGTGACGACAGTGATCTTTGTAACAATCCTCCTACTTGTGTCAACTGTTCAGGCAATCACCCATCTTCTTCCAAGGAGTGTCCTACTTGGAAGCTTCAATCCAAAATTTCGAAATTAAAGCATCAGAATAATATAACATTTTCAGAGGCAAAGAAAATCGTTCTTTCACAAGAACAATCAGGTCAAACATATTCTAATGCAGTTTCTGCATCTATTCAGGCCTCAAAGCCAAAACATATTGCTTGTCATTCTGTAGGTTGTCAGACAGACTATACATGGGCAAGGACTTCTGCACCAACCTTGCTATCTGCTGAAGCCCAGTCAAGACCTTCACAAGTGACCTGCAGTTCACAAACCACAGCCTCATCGAAAAGTATTTCTCAATCAAAGACATCACCTGAGATAGATACATCTCAGAAACTTACTAACCCTGAACCAACTGCCAAACCAACTGCAAAAGCCAAATCAAAACAAAACAGTGAAACATCCAAAACGAATCAAAGTGGAAGAACACCAAAGGGGGCGAATAACCATATCCAACTTTTTAATAAGTTTGGATCCCTTGATGGCATGGATGTGTCCGACCAAAGCCATGGTAGGACACATAGCTTGTCGCCATCAAGGAAGGTGAGGGGAAGATCTCCTGTTTATCCTCCGAAGAAATAATGTCCTCACCTATAATACAATGGAATTGTAGAGGACTTCGGAATACTTTAAATGATTTACAATTATTAATCCAAGATTTTAAACCGTCAGCTCTCTCCATACAAGAAACATATCTGAAACATACTGATAATTTTGACTTACGTCAATTCAATGCATATCACTGTTTTTCTCCCTCGGGTGACAGAGCTATTTGTGGATCATCAATCCTGGTGAGGCAAAATGTTATCCATAGCCCAGTTACACTCACAACCAATCTCGAAGCCGTTGGAGTGCTACTTACGTTGCACGTTGCATTCACTTTTTGCTCTTTATACCTTCCGCCGTCATCAACTGTTCAACTAACCGATATGCAAGCTCTTTATGATCAACTACCTAAACCTCGTATAATCATGGGTGATTTAAATGGCCACAACCCGCTCTGGGGTGGCACTAATACAAATACCAGGTTAATTACTGGAGGATTTTATTTCAAACAACGATTTATGCATTTATAATGACGGTTCAAATACTAGTACGTATCTTCATCCTGGCACGGGAACATATTCCGCTCTTGATTTGTCAATTACTGACTCAAGCCTATTAAGTGAATTTGAATGGTTAGTCCATGACGACCTCAATCACGTACATCCAACTGATGTTCCTCCATCATCAAGATGGAATTTTAAAAAGGCCAACTGGCCTTTATATGAAATTCTTTGTGCTGACAAACTAAACCCCGAACTTTTTAATGACATTCCTGATGCCATAAAATGTTTTTCAGATGAACTAAATAACATAGCTGACGAGTGTTTCCAAACGTCCTCTGCAATTCCTCACGTCCGAAAACCATGGTTTACCAAATAACGCGATGAAAAAAACCGCGCGAAATCGGAGTTCAAACGATTCACTCATGGGGAAAACTGATTTCAACAGCTGGGCTGCGCTCATAGCACGTGCGCAGTGAAATAGGTTCGCGCAACTTGGAAGCGGGCTGTCCGGTGAATACTCGGTGAAGGCTTTGGTGTGAGCTGTTTTCCTAATGTTTTGTTGATATCTCACAGGCGCGGGCTTTTTATATGTTATGACAGTAAATAAACTGTTTATATAATTTCATTTGTCTATTTCACCACACGTTCTTCTTACCGAGTCACTTTCTCAGTTCGATACTTAAAAGCAATGTCATTATTTAGCGTTGACAGAATTTCTAACTGTGATATAGATATGCCGTATATTGGATATACCTACTTGGGTTGTCGGTCCAGATTTGAAGAGGTCATCATACGACGATATCGTATTGGCCACACAAGATAGACGCACAGAAAACTGATATGTTTGCCTCAAGCTACATGGCTCGTTCAAGTCACCTGCTTCGCTAGTCCGAATGAAATGCATTATTTCAATTTACTTCCTACAATCGCCAGCGGCTGAAGGGATGGTGTAAATCCAGCTAAGCGCCATGCAGGTAGCAAAAGTAATGTAAGTCCCCATGGTTCTTAGTATGGTGATCTACCTTCAGATGCTGGCGATCTATAGCCCGTGTTTTATATTGTATTGTCTTATTTAATTACACTGTTTTAGTTTTACATGCTAGTTTTATGTTCATATCTGTGATACTCTAGTGTTTTTACTGTCCATAGTCGACAGGTTTTAATCTTCAAAACGTTTTATGCATTGATTTATGGCCCGAGTTCGGTCTCTGTCACATTATGTAATCACACAGACAGGCAGGTGTGATACTTGAACACATGACATGTTATGATGTCTGTTGATTGCAAAATGTTATACACAAAAAAATGAGCATGTATTTACAAAGCCCAACATCTCTATATATACACACATAATGAGCCTCATCTCCTTTTACCGTCGATAGTGTCGCTTCAAATCTCTATTTGCACTCCCCTTAAAACATTACACAGGTAGTCTACCTTCAGTTGTTGGCGATCCTCAGCATTTTTTATATTGTATTGTCCTAATCTGAAATCCTATTTTAGAGATATATGCTAGTTTTATTTCTTGATTTTTGTTATTCTGGTCGGTTTTACTGCCCTTCGATGAAAGGTTTTTATAATTTACCATAAATTACTATGTAAAACAATTAAATGTTCTTGTCATGATATGGCTGAAATATTGCCAATGTGACGATAAATTATAACTCACTCACTCACTCACTCCTAAAACATTACAAGAATTGTATTTTTACCACTTTCTATGAGACATTGCCTGTTCATGTGATGGTATAGGTGTCTGTTTTAAAGGTGGAGTAATTAACATAGACCCATTGTTTGTTCAAATGGTCAAAAAATATTAATGACTATTTTGGCATGTTATGGCCTTTAATTTTATAATGGTGCCCATTTGGAATCTCTACCATTGGCATAGTATTCCATCCTCTGTTAGGAACACGCCTCCGTGAGAGATACTGGTTACCTGAACAGACAATGTGAAATCTACTATCCATGAGAAATATGGATGTGAAATGACAAATGTCCCTTCAAACAATTTCTGCCATGAATGTAATTGCCACGACAATAGAATGTCGTCCATCCAAACACTATCACGGCGGGGGAAACCATAATCACGGCGGGGAACACCAGAAATGGGCTTCACACATGGTACCCATGTAGGGTATCGAACCTGGGTCTTCGAGCGAACGCTTTAACCACTAGGCTACCCCACCGCCCATCGTCCACATGAACCCTTTGTGAACACATTGGGGAGTTTTGGAACATATATAGTTCCGTCTCCTATTTTCGGATTTCCTATTCTCGCGGTAAACAGGTTTTCTGCCGAGATCTCCACGGCCCGACACTTAACGGTTTGTTTCAGTGGCATTCTACCAGATGGTGGTATAGAGATGACAAAACTGTATGGATGATCAGCTTGTCATCTTTGTCATCCGTTAGCGGTTGTTTACATCACCGACCGGTAACTTGGGAGTGACCCAAGTCTGCGAGTGATCAAAATTTTGCAATGTCACGAATATTGGTTAGTATCGAGGATGATTCCAACTTGGATATATCATGACTTTTTCCCGCCCTTTCCGGCAGGATTGCTCTTCCATACACTCCATAACGTGACTTCCTCGTTATACCGCGAGAATTGGAGAAGCCTCATTTCGCGAAAGGCGGATATATGGCATTGTTTATCACCGGGCTCACGAGTGTTAAATTACATTTGTGACGTCATTCTATTGTCTGTTCGCTCCATTACTTTTCAGGAATGGAGCGATGTGTACCAGTTTCAAAATAAAACCTTCATTTTGTCATTTTGACATTTAATTTTGATAACAGAAATATTCCCAATACTTTGAATGTAATTTAAGTAGGGTAATATCCTAGTTACTCTCCATTCCGGGGCCTCGGCTCCATTATTTTTAAGGAATGGAGAGTTACTCGGACATTACCCTCTACGTAATTCACCTGATGGATCTAGCAGCTGATAGATGCAGATGTTAGAGGAAAAGGCCCTTCATTTAAAAACAACAAGCATTCATACGATAAGAATTGTTTGAGTTATTTTTTTCAGCCGAGAAGTACCGCGAGAATAGGAGCATTATCGGCCAACTAACGTCATATATATAATGTGAACAGTTGCCCAACTTCCATTTCAGGTGGAAGCCCGCCGTGGCTGAGTGGGTTAGATGGCCTACTTTGGGTGCTGGCGGTTAGGTGTCTGACAGAGTGTGGGTTCGAATCTCGGACGAGACTAAACCCAACAAAAGTACTACAATCTGTACTTTACTCAGAAAGTGTAATCCCAGATGTAACATTTGATGTACACTAGTTGTTCAAAATGTATACAGTAGCGTACCTGCCATTATGCACTTTAAGCATGTGCCTACACTTAATGTTTTTAGCAATTCTTTTTACATGTGGTATGTTATGGATATATTTTTTTCGAGAGTAGTCTCCCTTTAACCTAAAACTAAACTCACTCATTTTGTGCTAAGTTCATTCGAACGTCCAGTTGTGCCTACACTCCATTTCATTCATGTGTACGCCCCTGACAACAATAAGGTGTAAAGGTGAGAGTCACGTGAGTGACCCCAAGTCTCGTGCGAACACGTGACATATACATAGTCTCTTACATAAACGAGTGACACGGCGATATTCAATATTATCTGACTCCGGGACGAGAAAATGAAGTCGTTTATGCTGCTAGTGGCGATTTGCCTTGTGGGTGTTACTGAGGGGATGCCGTTGCATGCTTCCTGCAAAGCTAACTGGTGAGTTCGTTAATCCGGATTTCGGAGATACGAAGTTATGTTGTGAATACATGCATGCATGCTTTGTGTACGTCACGAGAATTCTTTGCCCCAGACGTCACGGGTGAAGGGTTAATGCTAACTAGTAATATACCACAAATTCCTCCCAATTTTACAACAGTCTTTTGTTGGCGTTTGTTGTGTAAGACAAGCTATAAATGTTATCGGAAATGGAACTGTTTTAAAGGGAAGTAACTCCTTCCTGTATATTGAACGAAACACATGTAAAAGAATACAGCTGAAATACCTGTCATGTTTGGCATTTTGTTATTACACTGATAATCTGATATTACATTTAAATATTGCAAAACAATTTAATGGAGTTAAAATAAACCCTTCCCATATGTAATACAGAAGAGTGAGTATTGTTTTATGCTGCTTTTTAAAAATGTTTCTGATATTGTGGTGGAGCGATCAGAAGGGCAGCTCCACGATGTCCCATGAGGAGACTTGAACTCAGAACTTCAACATGATGAGCAGGCTCTTTGTACCAGTAGGCTACACCACCACCCAGTTATTACGAAAAAGAAAAGCTCCATCTATATTAATTTGCGTCATCACTTTAATTATTCTCCACATAAAACCATTACAGATTTTTGTTTACATTTCATGGATAAATAAATCAGTTGGTTTATATTTACACAGGTTGAGAAATTTTCTTGAATAGAAATATTTTACTATGTAGGCATTAGGATGGGTTTCCAACAGGAGACCTGAGCCTATATCAGTGAATGCCCTTTGTCTGAACCATGAGGGACCGCCTCTGTCAACTCTGTGGTGTACGTAGTGGTTAGAGCATCCGCCCAGAGAGTGGAAGGTCGCTTGTTTGATCCCCGACCGTGTCATGCCAAAAGACATTAAAATATGGTACTTGTTGGTCCCTGCCTGGCACTCGGCATTAATGGGTACAACAAGGACTGGTCGGCTCGGAGTCAGTATAATGTGTCTGAGTGGGGTATTCATGCTTAACTGCGGCATAGTATCTCAGAGGGCTAGCACTATAAAACCAGCTTAAGTCTTGGCTAGTACAAGCAGCCGCACATACACATACACACGCATGCATGTCGTCATATGAGCGAAATATTCTCAAGCACGACGTTCAACCCACTTTCAACTCACCTCTGAACCATGAGAGACTTATAATATTAGAATGACATGTCAACACAATGTGCAATGTCAACACCACTCGGACTGCATCCGTGAAGATCTGGGTTAGAATTGTTTTTCACCAACCCATGCTTGATGAAAGAAGCGACTACCAGGATCGGGTGGTTAGGCTCGCTGACTTTGTTGACACATGTGTCATCATATCCCTAGATTGATGCTCATGCTGTTATTCACTGGATTGTCTGATCCAGACTTGATTAATTACAGACCACCTTCAAATAGCAGGAATATTCCTGAGTGTGGCATTAAGCAACATGCAAATTCTCCTGGCTTGGAAGGATAAGTTTGAGTCGTTTTATTGTGCAGATTGATGTTCATGCTGTTGATCCCTGGATTGTGTGGCCCAGACTCGATTATTGACAGAATATAGCTTGAATATTGCTGAGTGCGGCGTAAAACTTAACTCACTCACTCACTTGAGTCGTTTTAGATATGGTCGTCACAAGAGGCGACTAACTGTAATGTGTGGTCAGATTAGGTCACTCGGTTGATGACCAGATTTTGAGTCACTGGATTATCTGGTTCAGACTCAACTGAACATGCTGTGTATGATCTTATGAATTGATACACAATGGCATTGATAAAGTGGTCAAATTCAAAATGTTACATTTACAATTACACTTTCACAGTACAGATTCTAGGACTATTCTTCACTGATGATGTGCTGGCGATTAGGTGAATTACACTGAGTGTAAGTTCGAATCCCATATGGGACTCAACCCAACAGTACAAGAATCCGTACTTTACTGAGAAAGTGTAATCCCAACTATATTATGAGTATGATAAGCACCAAACTGGCACGCACATACACACACATACACACATTTACAGGACTGTGTAACTGCAGTAGCGTTAAACATAATTTCTCCTCACTTATGAATTTGTTCTATGTATAATGTCCATATATTTTAAAAGTGCCGGGGCGGTGGGGTAGCCTAGTGGTTAAAGCGTTGTTTTTCACCAACCCATGCTTGATGAAAGAAGCGACTACCAGGATCGGGTGGTTAGGCTCGCTGACTTTGTTGACACATGTGTCATCATATCCCTAGATTGATGCTCATGCTGTTATTCACTGGATTGTCTGATCCAGACTTGATTAATTACAGACCACCTTCAAATAGCAGGAATATTCCTGAGTGTGGCATTAAGCAACATGCAAATTCTCCTGGCTTGGAAGGATAAGTTTGAGTCGTTTTATTGTGCAGATTGATGTTCATGCTGTTGATCCCTGGATTGTGTGGCCCAGACTCGATTATTGACAGAATATAGCTTGAATATTGCTGAGTGCGGCGTAAAACTTAACTCACTCACTCACTTGAGTCGTTTTAGATATGGTCGTCACAAGAGGCGACTAACTGTAATGTGTGGTCAGATTAGGTCACTCGGTTGATGACCAGATTTTGAGTCACTGGATTATCTGGTTCAGACTCAACTGAACATGCTGTGTATGATCTTATGAATTGATACACAATGGCATTGATAAAGTGGTCAAATTCAAAATGTTACATTTACAATTACACTTTCACAGTACAGATTCTAGGACTATTCTTCACTGATGATGTGCTGGCGATTAGGTGAATTACACTGAGTGTAAGTTCGAATCCCATATGGGACTCAACCCAACAGTACAAGAATCCGTACTTTACTGAGAAAGTGTAATCCCAACTATATTATGAGTATGATAAGCACCAAACTGGCACGCACATACACACACATACACACATTTACAGGACTGTGTAACTGCAGTAGCGTTAAACATAATTTCTCCTCACTTATGAATTTGTTCTATGTATAATGTCCATATATTTTAAAAGTGCCGGGGGCGGTGGGGTAGCCTAGTGGTTAAAGCGTTGGCTCGTCACGCCGAAGACCCGGGTTCGATTCCCCACATGGGCACAATGTGTTAAGCCCATTTCTGGTGTCCCCCGCCGTGATATTGCTGGAATATTGCTAAAAGCGGCGTAAAACTAAACTCAGTCAGTCAGTCAGTTTAAAAGTGCCATTTGTCTAATGGTGCCGGAAAGGTGGGGTAGCTTAATGGTTAAAGAGTTCGTCTGTAACACTGAAGACCTGGGTTTGATTCCTCACATGGGTACAATGTGTGAAGCCTATTTCTGGTGTCCCCCCACCGTGATATTGCTGGAATATTGCTAAAAGTAGTGTAAAACCACTCACTCACTCACTATAGTGATGCCATCCTGAGAAAATCGATCTATGAATCATCAAACCATTACCCCATTGTTACTCCACTGTATATATCTGTGTAATTATTTCAGGACATCTTCACTCAAGTGCACGAATGTACTGGACAAGCTTGTGGGTCAAATAGGACAATGGACAGGTCCTGATGGATGCGCTAATGGAGGAGAAAAATGCCTGTACAAGGTAAATACAAAACATCTAGAAGTCATGGCTCTTGCCGAAGTGTGTGTGTGAAGCCTGTTTCTAGTGTCCACATATGTGATATACTGCTGAAATATTGCTAACAGAGGCATAAAACCATTCCAATTTACTCAGGAAATGCTTGTTTTCAAAGGGATTTTTTACAGAAAGTTCTAGCCATTATTGTTTTCATGTTCATCGACTTTCAGCTGGTGTCCAGGAACACAACACAGGTGAAAGCCACCCATGAAACACCTAAGAAACATTATGTTGATGACTTGACCTTCACCTTCACACAGGACACCAGCAAGTGTAATATCACCGTAAGTATCGACTTCAAAGCTGGTTAAGATGACCTTAGCTCCTTCTTCAAGTTAATTATGTATTGGGCTGAATCGTTGAATGAAGATGCGAAAACCATATACACATCTTATCTTCTAAAACTTGTCGGAAAGGATTTGACAAAGAGCAGCCCCACCCCCCACCCCAAAAATGCTTGTCGTAAGAGGCAACTAAGGGGATCGGGCTGTCAGATTCGCTGAATTCCCATTTGTGTAGATACATGCTCATGCTGTTGATCACTGGATTGTCTGGTCCAGACTCGATTATTTACAGCCGCCGCCATATAGCTGGAATATGGAGTGTGGCGTAAAACTAAACTCACCCGCTCTAATCTTTGATTTTCTGACATGTTCCTTAGATCCATGAAGGTCCGGGTTAGAAATAGTCTTCAGTAACCCATGTTTGTCGTAAGAGGCAACTAATGGGATCGGTTGGTCAGGGTCACTGGTTGACACATGTTGTATCCCAGTTGCGTAGATTATTGATTATTTACAGACTGACGCCATATAACTGGACTATTGCTGAATGCAGCGTTAAACAACAAACCAACCAAATCTTACTTCTTATAATGTTGACAAACCAACATTTGAGATAATGTAAAGGTAGCGCATGAAAAATAGCTGGCATCAGTCTCTGTAGAAGATGGCTCAACTTCAATCCGAAACCAGCAAATCAAGGAATTTAATGTTTAGATGACACTAAATGTGAATGGTAGGTATTGTATCCTAACATCAGAATTATTCATATTATCAATCTGTTTTTTCCCAGGGTTTGAGCAGTTCAGAGACCTGGTACGCTGTCCTTGACTACGGCACCAACTACTGCAATCTTCACAACCTCATTGTCGGTACGTGTAATGTACTGGACCGCCTCTGTGGTGTAGTGGTTAGAGCGTCCGCCCAGAGAGCGGAAGGTCGCGGGTTCGATCCCCGACCGCGTCATACCAAAAAGACGTAAAAATATGGTACTTGTTGGTCCCTGCCTGGCGCTCTGCATTATTGGGTACAACAAGGATTGGTCGGCTCGGAGTCAGTATAATGTGTCTGAGTGAGGTATTCATGCTTCACTGCGGCTTGGTATCTCAGTGGGCTAGCACTATAAAACCAGCTTAAGTCTGGGCTAGTACAAGCAGCCGCACATACACATACACACGCATGCACGTCGTCATATGAGCGAAATATTCTCCAGCACGACGTTAAACCCAATTTCACCTCACCTCACGTGTAATGTACTCGGTGTTGGGGTTTCCTTACACTAAGACATAACATGGCAGTTGAAGACAGCCTTCATATCTTATTACAAGATGGCGAACTCATACATTCATGACATCATCATCCTCATATTGCTGATGACGTGTAGATGACGTTATCAGAAATGGGGTAATCCCGAGACTAGGTACATAGGGTTGGTGTTACAACTACTGATAGTGATATATCATATCACCAGCCATAGAATTTCTGTGTCACATGAAACCCGTGAAGATCCGGGGTAGAATAGGTCTTCAGCAACCCTTGCTTGCCACAAAAGGCGACTATGCTTGTCGTAAGAGGTGACTAACGGGATCGGGTGGTCAGGCTCGCTGACTTGATTGACGGTTCCCAATTGCGCAGATCGATGCTCATGCTGTTGATCACTGGATTGTCTGGTACAGACCACCGCCATATAGCTGGAATATTGCTGAGTGCAGCATAAAACTAAACTCACTCACTCACTGTGTCACATGATGGGATCAGGTGACACTTAATGTTTTTGGGTAGTGTAATACTTAGCTGTTACTGACCACCTCGGTGGTGTCGCAGATAGTGTCTGCACAGGAACATCAGTGGTTCTTTCACCGACTGAGTCATACTTTGTGATGGTACTTGTTGTTCCCTTGCCTATCACTTGGGGATGAAACAAGGAATATCTCAGTGTATGTATAGTGTGTCTGAGTGGCGTATCAATGTCAAGATATTGTGTGGTATTTGAGTGGGCTAACACTTTAATGTACTGAACAGCAAAAGAAACGCAAGTTTCGAAAAAATGAAATCTCATAAAAGTAAGCGTTCATGTTGATGGAACGTTCATAGTAAAGTGACAAAAATCTTGCGTTTCTTTTGCTGTTTAGTATATTAACGTAAGTCCATCTAGTAGATGCAAAATTGCATGCAGGTTCAGTAATGAGTTTAGTAATCTAGAATGTGGTGAAACCCTTCTCATCTGGCTGCCGATTCCTGACATGACCATCACCATAAAACTATACCTGTTATAAATGTGTGTATTGGAATCGGGGCGGTGGAGTAGCCTAGTGGTTAAAGCGTTCGCTCGTCACACCATAGACCTGGGTTTGAATCCCCACATGGGTACAATGTGTGAAGCCCATTTCTGGCGTCACCCCGCAGTGATATTGCTGGAATATTCAGCGGCATAAAAAAAGCTCACAGTGATATTGCTGGAATATTGCAAAAAACAGCATGAAACCATACTCACTCATTCACTTCACCTTGATATCTGTCCTGACCATCATTATACAACTAGGAGCGGTGGGGTAGCCTAGTGGTTAAAGCGTTTGCTCGTCACACTGAAGACCCGGGTTCGATTCCCCACATGGGTACAATTTGTGAAGCCCATTTCTGGTGTCCCCCGCCGTGATATTGCTGGAATATTGCCAAAAGTGGCGTAAAACCATACTCACTCACTCACTCACTCATTATACAACTGCACCTGTTATAGATGTTCTACTTCTTTTTTTCTTGAAGGGTCTGGACTTGACAAATCTCCAGGCTACAGTGAGACCACCAGCAACAGCATCTGTACACAGTTTACTTCAGCAGACTGCTCAAAATATTAAACACACCAGAAACATGGGAGCCCATTCCTTTCGCTTATCCGTAACTAAGGATGGGACGTAATATCACTGCTTCATCACCTCTATGTTGCTGTTATGTTGGTTTTCTCTGTAATTTTTGCTTATTTCAAGCTCTCTTATATTTTTTATAACTTCATGCTTTGCTTTCATAATGTACAATGGAAATCTAGAGTTTTCAATTGGATACAGCTGTGGCTTTTTTGTGTGAGGGGCGGAGGGGTAGCCTAGTGGTTAAAGCGTTCATTACGCCAAAGACCCGGGCTCGATTCCCCACATTTCTATTTTTTATTATTGGATATTTATATAGCACTAATATCCAAGCACTAGTGCATACTCAAGTATTTTTCCCTCGATCATTGGATGTCAATCTCAATGGCACATCATATTATCAATCTCAACTCCCTGGAGAGCATACAACTCTTGCAGCCACTAGGCGGACCGAGTTAGTGTGGTTTTCCCACCCTTTACGCGGTACCCATTCACGGTACCCATTCACAGCTGGGTGGACTAGGACACATAGTCACAGTACTTTTTCCAAGTTTACTGTACGTTGCTGTACCCGCAATTAGGTGTTTGCGCGTATTCATGTGGACACCATCTGGTCATATACCAACGGATTCGTGGGTTCTTTTAAGTGCACAGGGTTGTGTACTGTACACTAGGGGTTGTGACAACACTGAAAGAGTCCACACACAAAGTTGACTCCAAGGTTTTTTACACCCGGTCACAGGTGGGATCGGTCCCGGCACCTCATGCTTGCTGGAACACCAGCCTGGCGCCTTAGACAGCTCACCCACCATGCCTGTACATGGGTACGATGTGTGCAACCCATTTGCTAAAAGCTGGAATATTGCTGAAAACGAATTAAAACTAAACTTATTATGTGTGAGGATCTGATGAGAAAACCTGATAAAGATTTGTTACAAGGACAGTGCCGTCAAAATCATTATGCAAATGTATTTTGACATAGTTGTTATTTATTTTGTTTCTCCACATCGGGGATTTATGTTCTGGCAACACTGGTTACTACCGTTACTCATTAGTTGAAAGGATGTTCTCAACAGGACTGGATTAAATGATCAATAATCTGAAATATTGTTGATAGGAAAACATGTAATAATTTTTGTGTATGGAAATCGTGTTACTGATAATGTCATACATAAAATTTTGTGATAGAAAAGTTTTTTTATTTTCTCACACAGTATATGAAGTTATGGTCTGCTTCTAAATTATGTTGAAGATGCTGTTTTGTTGATAAGTAAAAACGTGTTACAACTCACCAGCGTCTTTTAGATATTTTTGCTCAAATGATATTTAGTTTATCAATCTCTGATTTCCTAGTCCTATTTCTCAATATTAAGTTCCATGTGCTTGCTATATTAACATCTCGGAGGCAATGGCGTAGCCTAGTGGTTAAAGCGTTCGCTTGTCACACCTAAGCTGTGATAATGCTGGAATATTTCCAAAGGCGGCATAAAGCCATACTCACTCACTATTAACATCTCAACAGTACAACTGTCTCCACTGGAATTTTATTAACAATTTTTACGTTTATAATACTCTATACCTTTTACAGTTATGCCCTGTTTTGTACCAGGATCTGCATGCCAGAATCCTAGTTTTGCACCAACTCTATTTCAAGGTCGGGTTTTTACAAAAATTGTGAACATCTATGAATGGATTTTAAACACCTGGGCCCCGTTTCACAAAGCTCTCATAAGCCTAAGATCTCGTAACTTTCCTCTTGTAGCATTCCTATCTCCTATACTGTAGCATTGACTTACGATAGTTGTAGCGCTACGAGAGCTTTGTAAAACAGGGCCCTGCTCTGATCCAATAATGGTGAAACCCTTTGATATGAATGTACCATTATGAAACAGTAGGATTTAAATTTTTGATATGTGACAATCCTTGTGAGGAATCTATTCAAAATGGCTTGCTGTCTTTTTGTATGTTCTAAACTTCAAATTCATGAGCAGTATTTTACAGCAAGTCTTTTTGATAGAGGTTATTTTGTATATGTTGGTGAGATCTAGTATGAATGTGTGTATAGATATCTGATGTAATTTTGATACTATGAAGTAAATCTGTTAAAGAATTTGTGTTTTGTCATTGATGTCAGTGGTCATGCAGTCAGAAGTTCTTTAGCTCCTCATCTCTGACTGGACCCGTGAAGGTCCGGGTTAGAATATTGATCTTCAGTAACCCATGCTTGTCGTAAGAGGCGACTAACGGGATCGGGTGGTCAGGCTTGCTGACTTGGTTGACACGTGTCATCGGTTCCGCAGATCGATGCTCATGCTGTTGATCACTGGATTGTCTGGTCCAGACTCGATTATTTACAGACTGCCGCCATATACAGTCTGTTTGAGTCAGAAACGGACCGATGAATTGCAAATTTTATCATTGTACAAAATTGCCACATAAATATAAATAGTACACGTTTATCATTTACTAATACCCAACAGCTTTCTTATATTTGAAAATTTTCCGGACTCCACCCAAAAAGTTGTTTAAGAAACTATCATCATTGAAAACGCAAAAGTTGTTACCTGTCGCGGCGGGGTGAAACCGCAGAAACGGAACAGCCACTATCTCGTGCACGGGATGAAAAATGCCTGATGAAAAATGAAGTTGAATGCTGACGTGAAACAGTTGATGATTAAAGGGTACGATTTTTTCCGTGCTGAAGCCGAAAGGGGCAAACCATTTTATGCCATTAATAAATTCCGTAAGCGGGCAGCAAAAGCTTAAGGAGTATCAGCAAGGGTACTGACAAATGTTCTGGAACACAAACATTGTGAGGGTGCTGCGAAGCAGGTAGGGGTCGTGTCAAAATCACACAAATTACAACATTTGGACAGCTTTCAAAAGAACCTTGTAAGGCAGTCTATCAACAAGCTCTATTCTGAAAACAAATACATGTCGCTGAAAATTTTAAAAAAGCATTTGAAACAAGAACACAACCTCAGAGTATCAAAGTACACACTCTGGCGACTCTTACCCTCTTTCGGGTATCGTTAAAGGAAAATTTCGGGGGAGAATAGGTCAGTACTCTGTGAACGCCCTGATATCGTTTGCTTGAGAAATAATTTTCTCAGGGTTATAAAGAAGAAGCGTGAGGAAGGGTTCGAGCCAGTGTACTTGGACCAGACCTGGGTCAATGCCTCGCACACTGCCAGCAGTCAGTTGGTACCCGATGGGGGTGATAAGGGGTCACGTAGACAGATGCCTCTAGGGAAAGGAGAGAGACTAATCATCTCCATGCTGGTTGCTCCAGCAAAGGCTTTCTCCCAGGCTGCGACTTGGTATTCAGGGCAAAGTCCACAGATAACAGAGACTACCATTCCGAGATGAATGGTGCGGTTTTCCTCAATTGGGTTCAAAACAAGTTGGTACCAGCCCTACCAGAGAAGTCTTTTATCATAATGGACAATGCCCATACCACAGCGTGCAGGACCCCGACATCGAACAGTCGAAAAGGTGATATGATATCATGGCTCGACAAATTTCAGATCGCACGGCCTTCAAAGGAAACGAAGCCTCAGCTATATGAGATCATAAAAACCCACAAAGGTGAACCTTTCTACAAAGTTGACAGTTACAGAAAAAGTAAGGGTCACGATATTCTGCGACTTCCACCCTATCACTGTGACCTTAACCCCATTGAAATGATATGGGGTATTGTCAAAGGAGATGTTGCCAGATCAAACACAACTTTTAGATTACGTGACGTAGAGGTTTTGGTTAAGGAATCCCTTAACAAAATCACGACTGAAACTTGGCAAAACTGTGTCAACAAGGTAGCTAACCTCATTGAACAAGGTTACTGGTCTCGGGATGGCTTACAACAGGCAACTGTGGCACCACTTGTCATCCCTTTAAGTCGTGACTATGACACTACGACAGATGGGGAACCAACAGGTCTCCCGGAATAGATTTTGAGATGTCCCCCGCCATGACTGGCTGTTCCGTTTCTGCGGTTTCACCCCGCCACGACAGATAACAACTTTTGCGTTTTCAATGATGATAGTTTCTTAAACAACTTTTTGGGTGGAGTCCGGAAAATTTTCAAATATCAGAAAGTTGTTGGGTATTAGTAAATGATAAACATGTGTACTATTTATATTTCTGTGGCAATTTTGTACAATGATAAAATTTGCAATTCATCGGTCTGTTTCTGATTCAAACGGACTGTAGTTGGAATATTGCTGAGTGCGGCGTAAAACTAAATCACTCACTCACTAATGACACAAGCATAACCTTCCATTTAGAAATACCATCATCATCATCATCATATAACAGCGATATCCAGCTCCTGGGCCAGCTGCTCAAAGGGCTTTGTTTGATCACTGGACTCTCAACGGCATCTTGAGTCAATCTCAACTCCCTGGGAGCATACAAACTCTTGCAGCCTAGTGGAGGAGGTACCCATTCACAGCTGGGTGCACTGGGACACATAGTCACACCATGGTAACAGCATGTATCTGATAACTCTATCTTGAGAAACACGGATGGCCTATGGAGAAGGAGTGAGTGAGTGAGTTTAGTTTATGCCAATTTTAGCAATATTCCAGCAATGTCATGGCGGGGGACGCCAGAAACAGGCTTCACACATTTGACCCATATAGAGAATTGAAACCGGGATGGATGAGCTAAGTAGGCTACCCCACCGCCCCTCAAACTGAAATAGGTAAGGCAACAAATTTCGTGAATGTATGAAGTTTATTCAGCACTTTTCATGTACACAAGCATGTTTAATGAAATGGGAATGTGAAAGGTTCTGTCACATACAATTTGACCAAAACAAAAAAGGCAGATATACACTAGAGAAAACAGATGTGGTCCATAAACCAGGTGTAAATGCTCTGCTAGAGGTTTGGCCAGGAAATACAATTGTTATCTTGTCAAACAAAATGTGACACAGTCTCATAACCAAATTGACATCAACATTTTTTTCTTTTTTTATATTTATTTTGTTGTTGTTGTT